TCTTAAGCTGTTCGGGAGAAATGGACCGGACAAAGGTCATTTCCAGAAGTTGGTCAATACGAAAATAGTAAGAATACTAGAAACGATCTCGTTGCGAGCAACGAGTAGGTCTTCCGTCCGATTTTTCGATAAGATGAGATATGATTTTGACTATGATTTTTGTTAAAACATTTCAAATTGTAAAGATAAACATTTTTGCTTCAGTAACTTATAAGAAAATATTGTTCATTGAAGAGATATCAATAAAGGACTTTTGGCCCTTCTGAGACCCTAATTTGAGGGGTCAGCCCCTTTTTCTTGAATTTATATAAATGTTCTTAACATTCTGCACAACTTCTCTTCAATATGTTTTAACAAATTATGAACAGGTAAGAAGATATGAAACAAAAGGTGTCAAATTTCGTGAGATGTTTTCGAGACATTTTTGGGCCCTACGGAGCTCCGGTGCCTTTTACGCTAGGAAAGTTTGCAGCTCATATGCAACTCAGCAAACCTTTTTTTACTCTCACTGAAAATCTTGACTCAATATCTTAAGTCGTTTAGGAGGAGTTACCAGGACAAGCCGACCCTCTTAAAATCAGTAAATCGTCCATATCTCGCGACCGGAAGTGACGACGTACCTATAAAAAATTTCCAATAAGGTTCAGATCAATATCTACCAGATCTGAAAGTTTCAAGAGAATCGACCAAGGCGTTTCCGAGAACTCGCGTGCACAAAAATCGGTAAGAAAAAAATAATAATAATAGGGAAAAAGAAACCGAACGAAAACAATAATAATAAGAAACAGAGTAAAAACAATATGTTCCCCAACTTCGTTTGGGGAACATAATAACACATTTTTATCTGAATATTTTTAAAACAAGGATAACATGCCATGGATTGATTCTGTGTACAAAACTTCATAATCACTGTTTTTCTTATACATGTTTTACATGTACATGTATTTGAAATAAAAAAGGAATTGTTAAAGAAAAGTGAATTTAATACTATTGTTGTCAAAGGAAGATAATAAGGGCAGTTTATTTATGCTCAAAATTGGTCAAAAGATATTGTCATTGATAATTCATCCAAGAATCACATGTATAATAAATCTATCAAAGTCAATTTGAACGACATAAAGGAAAATTCTTATCTTTATAATGTAAGTGCAAAAAGGTCAACCAGGGCAATGTGTGAAGGTGTACATGTGTAATTGTTTTTGTGATATAGAATGTAATTCAGAAAAGAATATTACAAAGAATTTACTCATTTTCTGTGAAATATTTTAATAAATTCTATCTATCAAAGTCAATTTGGATGATATAAAGGAAAGTTCTTATCTTTTTTTAATGTAAGTGCAAAAAGTTCAACCGTGGCAACATGTGTGTAGGTGTACATGTATAAATTGTTTTTGTGATATAGAATGTAATTTAGAAGAATATTACAAAGAACTTACTTATTTTCTGTGAAATATTTTGATAAATTCTTGATAATATCTCTTAGTCACCAAATTCTTCAAAAATGCATCCCTCTAAAGGAAGGGGGTAGGGTAGGGTGTAAGACAATAAACTTGTTCCAGGACGAATTTAAACCCCATTATGTAGTATGATTTTTTTCTGAAATTAAGATATTATAGACTAACTATATTATGCAATAAAAAAAGAAATTTGCTGGGTAATTTTTTCACAGCGGAAGCAGAAGTCTGAGACTTTGTGCAATGAATAGGCAATATTTTAACCTAATTTGACCATGCAGCTTGGTGAATTTAATTATGTTTTTCGCTTACATTGCTTGATAAATTTAAGATTGATGTCAAATATTATTTCATATAGACAGATGTATAAAGTCATATAAGACAAATGATAATTGATATAGCAATAAAAAATTAACAGCCCTTTTCATATCATATTCTTATATTATTTTACCCTGCTTTTTCAGCTCTTCGGTGGTTGATGAAGGCTATATAAAAATTGTCAAATTTCTCTTAAAATAGCCCGATCACCTACCTTGAATTTTTGATATGATTTAGAACAAGGACTCAATACAAACATATAAAAAAAATTCAGAAAAATTCAATGGGTAGTTTTTTTGTTGACCACGTGCACCTATCAATCTCTACCTTAATAAGAAAAATTACCCTGTTAAATCAACGTAAAAGTACAACAAATGTGCATTAAAAATTAATTTGTCACTTTTTCCTTGCAATGTGAATTCGTCACTTTTTCCTCGCAATGTTCGTTTGCGTTGATTAACCTTGCAACGACACAAACGTCACACGGCTCTTAAGTCGATATATAAAACACACCGGTTTTGAATAAAAACAGTGAAGACAATTTTAGAGCAGTTGTAGAAACATGAAAACTTTCCAGAGAAAATCTGATCAGAGGAATTTCGGGCTAATATTTTCAAAATGGCTCCACTCTTTTTTCTGAAACTTGGACACATTAATTGATTGTTGTTACATTTAATGAGAAACCTATGCATTTTTCTATTTCCATTACACTGCATGTTGCAAAATATGTGATAACAATAGTATCCATTCACGTCATTAACCGTCGGGTGGCGCTGCGGTTTTAGAGGTGGTTACGCAAACGTTTGAATTTGTCAAGCGCTTGACTGAGTGTAAACAAATGGTAGCGTGGCGAGACACTGTGGTTTCTCCTGGACGTATACCTCCAAATTAATTAATTTGTAAAGAATGTCAACCCTCTGTGGTGTGCCAGGATGTTGTAGAGGATGCGGACACTCATTATTTTCAGATCCAGACATTTGTTTGAGACGAAAAGTGACGCTAAATCGGTCATGAAGATGATCAGCTGACTTGGTAAACACGATGTCGCTTGTCACCAGAATTTTGGAGTCGGCGATATTAAGGATTAGATTTTTGGTAAAATATTGATTTTGATTAATTTTAATTAGTATTTTACGAAGTATATGTCATTAAATCGTATAGATTTAACTATAAAAATGAGTTACTATATATAGTATAAAACATATTGACTTTGTGACTTTTTAACTTTTTCTTAAATGGAAAAAAGTGAACTCCCTTTTTATTTTTTTTTTTCATCAAAGAACATTTGAACTATTTATATTAATAGTGTCTTAATAGCTTGACACATGGCAATTAATATTATTTAAAATATTATTTCAAAAGTTTGAAATTTAATTACAATGTCTAAAGCTTTTGTTGCTTTGTGATTTTGTTGTTAAACAGACAGACACAGCACTGGTAAATGTAATAGGATTAATTCTGATTAATTTAATGTACAGTGGCAGTTTTCTTTTAAAAATGTACAAATAGAGTGTATGATGTGTTTATGTCCCCATACAATTAACTTGATTTGTTAGCAAATGGAATAAGTACTGCAATTTATGATTTTAGTTCAATGTTTAATTTTATTATATATTTTAAATTTCAACACCAGAAATAATGAGATATTTTTCCCCGCTTGATTAGTACGAGTAGGGTCTTTGGTTTTCCCTGGATAAATATTGATTATATAATATTCTACTTTAACTCAATACAATAACAAAACAAAAATAATATTTGCACAGTTCCTTGTTTACAGGAGACAAGAGTAGACTAAAAAAGGATGCAGTAAACTTGACATCCAGTTTTGGACTTTAAAACTCCAGCAATACAAGTCCAACAGCTCCGTAGCTGCAGTCAAGACACGAAGTATGTACAAAGACTGAGCTGTTCCTCAAGAGTTGTGAACTAAAGTGTGCATCATGGAGTTTAGACCAGTATCCCCAGTGATAACTAGCAGTCACTCGGATGTTTCTTTAAGATCAGCCATATTCTTTAACAAAGATATGAAAAATTCAATGCAAGCATTTAAGCTGTTGAAGACTCTGTCCGAATGATTCTTTCTCATATTGGTACATATTGTAGAAGCTATTAGCATGATTAGGCTATTAAGTGAGATGTGCTTAGAAGATGTTCAACTATTACTTTTTAAATTTCAGAACACAAGTATATAGTTTTAAGAATTTTTGACACATTTAATTTTTAGAAAAATTAAAAAAAATCTTTTTGCTTGCTTTGAAAAAGAATTAAAAATGATTGTACATGTATTATGAATTCTGTGGAATCTTTTTAATCAAGTTAATTTGTGGGGTTCAATGTTCATGGACAAGAAAAATTGTTCATGGGTATGTAATTTTGTGGATTTTAACTCATTGATAATGTAGATTCAATCAATATGTTAACAAAATCCATGGGCAAGAGAGACTCGTCAAATCCACAAGCATTGATTTCCAAGAATATTGTACTTGCATGCTCAAATTTAAGTACGAAAGGAATAAATATGTATAAATATTTAATACAATCTTTTTTGTTTTATTTATTTACAGCCATGAATAAAATAAGCAAAATCGTTAACAGAAAAAAGTTCAAGCTTTGGAAAAATACTGTACATGTACATAACTTGGTGTTTTCAAAATTTAGCGCAATCAATGGATATGGTTGTTGGCATAATCTTGAATTAATGCTACAAATATTTGTGTCGTATATTCTATTTATAAATGAATTTTTAGTGGTATTTATGAATTAGCACATCCTCGTCTGCTCAAAAACAACTAAAATATGAAGCTCGCTATTTTAAGTACACATACAGTAAATTCCTTTCAATGTCAATTTTTGTACAAACAAATATTAAAATGTTATGTCTGTGCATTCTTTCATTTCACAAATTAATTTCTCTTGCCAGGGATTGTTTGAGTACATCAGCTTCTTTTCCCTTTCAGTTTTTGGTGGAATCCCTTCAAATAAGAATGAGTAGCAATTAGTATAGAGTAATTAGCATTATCATGACTGCACTTGTTTTTTGGTAAATTAAACTGTCTTTAAATATTTTTAATTTTTTAAATAAAATTGATCTACTTCTCAAATTAAAATACAATTCTTAATCAATCCTTAATTGTAAGTTTGTGAAAAGCCTGAAGATGCTGCATACAAGATTATTGTACCGGTATTCTATTAGAGAATTTTCCAAGCATGAGAATACCTTGTCTATGTGTGTACAGGCTGAATGTTGCCCCATATTTCCAGCAGAACATTTTCTCTGTGAATGTATAGGACTGCCAAACATCTCAACACTTTGTCTTAGGTTGTAATACACCTAGTGATAATAAAAGGAAATGCATTTTTTTTAAGAATTAAAATTGGAAGCATTGAAGCATTGCTTAGGCCAAAATAAAATTATAGTTTGTTTAGAATTGCCTCCCGTCTCATTGAAATGCCCCCTCCTGAAAAAATTTTATTGACCAAAAGTAGGAAGATTTTTTTATATTTAATCAATTTTTTTTTTGCCCATTACATGTATCACATGCACCATACAAAACACTGATATATAGTGTCTGATCTATGTAAAATTAGGTTTTCAATTAAAAAAAAGTAATTTCCCTCCCTCCCTCCTGTGTCTGAAACCCTTCAGGTGGCAATTCCAAACAAACAATTTTTTAAGGATGGCCTAGCTTACGTGTAATTTATGAGTACTTTCTATTATTAAAAAAAATACAAATGCAATTACATACCAGTTCATCTTTTTCCCTGACAGCACTGACAATAGGATGGATGCCATTTCATGAATTAGATGGGGAAAAATAGAATTTTTATGTAACATGTACCATCCAGCCATAATAAAGCTCCCTGTAAGCTTTGACTTCTTATTTTACCTGCTGATCTCCTAAATAAAATGAAATGAAAAAATATATTCTTAAATAACTGAAAAATAACCAATTTACTCAGTATAGGCTTTTATTTAGGAACAAATATACAGTCAGCCTGTAAGTGAGGTCAATCCATAGTCCTGATAATAAATTCTTTTTTTCAGAGGACTGTAAAATTAATTATGTTTCTTGTATTTAGTTGTACAATAACAGCTACTACATGTATATATTCCTTTTATTTATTTTTACATGCAGCAGGTTTTATTTAATTACTGAGTATATCTTTCCGACTTAATGAAATTGTAAATGTAAACTAAGTTGTCGAGGGTCACATTATAGAAACACAAATACCGGTACTGTACAAAATGGACCTAGCAAATGTTAACTTTAAAATATTTGTACTTATTTTTACCTTTATCATAACAAAGATGTAATGCTCTAAGTATACAAGTAGCTACTGACTATGAAAAAAATATGTACAGAACAAATAAATTTCACAATTATTCATATGCACTATATAGTACAAGGGCACATATCAAGTCTATGTTTGTTTGTTGTCTAATTTCCATCTTAAGAATTTTTTACTCATACGGAGACACCATCATTTGCTGATGGCAGACTGCAAATATACCTATTCTCGGCACTCTGGGCCATTGAGCAGGGATGGATCTTTTTAGTGCGAACACTTACTGCAAAACAGGACCACGGTTTAGACGGTCTCATCTGTAGGACATGTAATGCAGTGGATTTGAACCTGCGACATCAGGTTCAGCTCTTAGCTTTGGCGACTGTAGACAAGGCAGACACTCTAACCACTGCGAAATGTGGGCGACTTACATCAAAGCGTACCAGTCTCAATTTTTTTTTTAATTTAAAAAAAAACAAACAAATGAGGCTGATTGGAAATCAATTATATTTATCCAATATCAATGAATGGTCATTTAATGTATCTCTATGTAGGATCTGGAGAGTCTTTTGGTGAGGGTTGAAATATGATGTTTGTGATTGTTTTAGTTTTGTTTATTATCATTAATTTTTTAAGTGAACTAAAATAAAATGAATGTTTAGTTTGTATTTGCCTTGCAATGAATATTACGTTGCACTTAATTACCCTGATGATCATTTGGGACGTTGCTCTTTTAATAGTATGTAACCAGTGTAGATCTACATAACCTAGCTGTGCAATGATTGTCATGTAAAAAAAAAAAACCAAAAAACAAAAAAAAACCAAAATATCGCCATGAGTATTCGTATCATATACTAATTCCATTTGAATCTAGTGTTTGTGTAAGTGGTAAAGATGATAATACATCTGACAACCTACAAAAACGTCGATTGTAAACTCACTGCTTTGTCGTTGTACTATCTTCGTCATATAGGCATGTTACACTCGATAATTCTTAGAAAGTTTCCATAAATGTATATTATTTACAAACAATAATTACCCAAGATTCGGATAAACCTTTCTCCCGGTTGTGACAGCTCGATTAAAGATCGATTCAGCCCCTCCGTTTGGCTCCAAATTCGAGGACACGTCCATTTGTTTACATTGTTACAAGCGCCGCGGTGATTAAAGCGTTTACGTAACCACCTCTAGTACATCAGCGACACCTGACGTCATAAATATGACGAATGAGTCCTATTCATAATTCTGATATTTCATTGTGTCGAATCATTGGACAATATTGGTCGCTATGGAGGACATTTAATGAAACATTAACTTTTTTTTATTTAACAAATGAATGTTGCTCAGATAATTTATAGTTCTTTAAATATTGTACCATGTTCATTTTCCATTTATGTTTTTTTTTTTATTGAATTGTATTTGAAGACAATTTTAGAGCAGTTAAAGTAAATTTTGCAAAGAAAAGAAAATAACTTCTATTTCAAATTACAAAATAACTTCGATTTCATACATTTTGTGGCACACTCAACAGTTTTTTTCTTGCTTTCAAAGCCTGTTTACATGAATATGTAATCAAAAGCAGTTTACGATGAAGAATTGTACAAATTAAGATACATTTTCGAAGAACGTTATGCAGAGCGAAATATGAAATGAGTGATAAGGCATTTTCCGGCGGAGAAATGTAAGGATCTGTTGCGTATTCCTCCACTAATCACATCCGAGGTTTGAATGGAGCGTAGCGGAGTCAGCCGAGAATTGCCGATTGCTCGGCCAGTCAAAGTTTACGGAGATGACCGAGCGACAACCATGGTAAGGCTAATGCCAGTAAAAAAGCTAATGTAGAAATACAAAATCAAGAAATTCAAAAGAATTATACGGCCTGATAGGTGTAGATCAGTTTTCTGTTTAAGATTGTTGCTAAAGACGGTAAGTTTTTTTTAAAAAGCTCTACTTGTTTATATTATAATCACACATTGTTTATACGTATATGTATACATTGATACCAAAATTATTTGTTTTTCATTACTTTGATTTCACACTCATACTACCTTAATTACGGAAAATTGTTGTCTCTCTTAAAAATTTATTTTCCGTAACGGTAATTCAGGAAAGTTTTTGCACTAAAGGTATACGATTTTTTAATTATTTTGGGAGCGAAATGCCTCATACTTTTGTTTATTATCCTAAAACAAGTTTTGATTATAACTATGACCGAGAATTTTAACTTTTATTGCTGGTGAATTAACTTCCGTAACGTTAACGTCCGTAACGATATTTTTTACCGACATTTTGATTTAATTTCTGATTCATGCAAAACCTCATGAATCATATTTTAGCTTTCTATACTGAACATAAGAAACAAAAAAAATCGGTCAAATTCAGCGGTATTTAAAAAGGGCCTGACCAATTTATCAGATGAAATCTGTCATTTTTTCCCGAAATTGGAGAAGGAAATCAGAAAATTGGAATCATTATATTCAGTTATATGGACAAAACTGGTTCTCATTTATTCAAATTGAACTCTATATCAATGAGAGTAGAGTCTCCATCAGTGCTTTCAGAACTTACTCCACCCACAGCACCGTTCACGGAAGCTCATGCAATCGGTATAAAGCTTGCTCCATGAACGAGAGTTCGTGAGTTTGAATCTCGGCTGTGACTGATCTTAGTCGATAACAAGTAACAGCTTTTTAAAAAGCTTGCCTGACTAAATCAATCAATTTATCTGCATGAAGAGTGATAACCCTTTTGAGCAATACTTTGTGGGTTTAAAAAATATCCTAACCTTATATTTTGAGAACCTTATGTAATTGAAATCTTGATTTTACTGAACTTGTAGAAGAATCATCTCTGCACTGCATACTAAAGAACTTTGGGGGGGGGGGTCTGCAAGTGGAGTGATCTGCCCTTGGATCTTAATTGATTTCAAGCTACATTGTAACACCTATTATAAAACCTGTTATCAAATCACGCATTGTGAACATTTTAAAAGATGGATATAATTAAAAACACATTTTGTTGGAGTGTATTTTCTCCTCTGAAGTAAACAGTAGTAATGTGTGTTCATTATTTTTTTCTTAAAAGGGGAGGGGGATGACACTATCATATAATACATGATATATTGAGAATGAAATAAGTAAAGGCTTTGTAGAAAAAAATATCCAAGATTATTCACTACTTTCTTATTTATCGTGTGCATCTGAACAAAGACATATAACAGTTCATGCTTTTGGAGACGATGGCTTGAACTATTATAGTTTATTATTATTGGACTCGTCCATTTATGGAATAAACCAACCGCGGGATCGGTAAGCAAATTAATAAAAACATCATTTCTTTAGTGTTACATGTACATATACCATGTATACTGATGTATACGATATGTTGTTTTAAAGAATGGTATAAAACTTGTAGATATAATTTCTGAAGCATTAGAAGGAAGTTAAAAGGACAAACTTTATTTAATTCCATGGAAGTTAGCACATCCATTCATACAATAGAACAATCCAAGGAAAAGGCGCGAAGATAGCTTACTAGTGACATTTGGCGCGAAAAGAGCGATTCACCCCTTTCGTAGAATATAAATGGACTGATCCAGTAGTATAGAAATGAAGAAAAAAGGATACACGGACATGTTGAAACGGCAAATCATATGGAATAATCTGTTCCATTCAAAAAGATCAAAGGAAGTAACCACTGCAGTATTTCGCATCAGTAATATCTTTCTTTTTTCTGAAAACTGTTTCTTTTAAAATGCAGGTAAAGAATTCCAATGTAAATCAGCTTGCATAAAATCTAGCTCTTTAGATATGGTCGCACATTTTCGGATCTTGGAAATATCAATCCTTATACTGCCTGACGCCGTGACGTCAGGCAAAAACAGCAACTGTTCCTTCGCTATGTGCTCGGCATTTGAAGTTAAAGTTGCGGTTCCTTCGGATGAGACCTTAAAACCTAGGTTCCTTGTCACTGCATGAGTTGGGACGATAAATACCTCACGCTGCTCAATTGTCCTTAGTGCCGAGTAAAGGTCAAAATTGAAGTCCTTCACCTGTATATGGTGACGTCCCTACATGAGTGAAAACTCGAATAGGACGTAAATCAACAAATAATCAATAAATCCACCCACAGCAGAAAAAGAAACTGAAAAAAAATAATAAAAGGATATTTTGGCAAAATATGGAATAATGCAATTTATTTCACTACAAAATAAATCCGATTATAATAGCAATGACAACATTTGTTCACTTGCACCCGATAAAACTGCGGGAAAAATTATTCCTGTGCCTGGGTATTGTGTCGTCATAATTTTGACTTTCATAACGTCACGCTATACTTAAGGTAGGATTCTTCTCACATTTCTTGTATTTAGAAATGAATGAAATTTTCACAGAATCAAGAGGACAATATCACTAAGTGATGGTGTCAGTGAGATTAAATTTGACCGTTTAATATTAGAGGCAAGGTCAGGTCAAGGTCATTACCTTTTTCCTGGACATTAAGAATAAAAAATTACTGTTTCCAATCATGTGATCCCTAATTGTAATTCAAAAGATTGAATATTTTTCTTTTTGCATGAAAAGATACTACCATATAGGGCCTATAAGATGATATTACCAAATTGACATGGATAATTTAAATAAAATGGATAGTTGCTAATCCGAATTTCCTCTACTTTTCTAAATTTTTTAGGATATATTAGTTATTTTTATAGGCTTCCTATATTTAACTTTTTCCAATTTTCACATATAGGAAAGTTGTGGTACAAAGGTACAAAATGATACAAAAACTAAAAGTTTTGATCGTTTACTAAGAGAGAAATAACACTTTTTACGGATTTTTGGCTCAAATCTGTACTTAGATTTGAAGCATTTAAAAGCCAACATAGTTCTAGTATGTGTGAAAAATCTTATTTATTTGATATATTTTGAAACTTTAGTCCCTTATTATTAATCTTAATTACATTTGAAAATTTCGTCTACTCTTTGATTGCTTAAAAATTATAACTAAATTCAATGTTCTATAATAATTTTGAGAGGCAGAAAAGATGATATTTTCATACTCCAACATTCCGCCAAAAATATAGTCCCTGCTAGTTTTCAAACGCAGATTACCGTTTCTATTTAAAGTTGTATAATTGTGATGAGGAAAGAAAAATATGGTCTTTTAAATCTCTTACATCTAAATATATAAGACATATCAACAAATGTTCTTTGAATATTCCATCTAGTGAGTAGTCAGAAACCAGAGAAGAATCCTACCTTAATACTACAACGGTTGTAAACCTATTTCAACATCAGCTGTGCGTAAGGGCGATTTTCAGAAATTTACAAAAATACGGTGGAATCTAACTATTTAAAAAAAAAATGCAACCTCGCCAGACGTCACACAAGGCGGAGCCTCAGTCGTCAAGAGAAAAAAGAAAATTTGCAGGAAAAGCCAGATTACCGGGAAAAAAGCCAAAAGTTTCCCCAGTTACAACACAGGGAATAAGCATCGAGGAAGTAGCCTCATCAGTATCGGAGCTAATCCTGCCCGAATTGAGACACACCATCAAGCCTGACATCGGCACAGCCACAAGATGAAGCTACACCAGGACACTCTGGAGTTTTAACAAGTACAGTGGCCGCAGGCGATGAATCTGATCAACAGATTGATGTTGTAATCAACCAAAAACAGACCGTGGCAAAAGAAGGTACTAATTTAGTTCCTCTAAGTTTGGAATCAAGCAATTTAGCTTCATGTTTAGACTTAAATAATGCAATAACAAGCGCTGACGATGACTTAGGTATGCATGTACCGCAATCTACAAAACAGATAATTGTTAAAGGTGAATTTATTGAATTGCACACTTTACTTGATAGGCATCCAGTCAACGATCAAGAGAACAAATTGGTCTTATATAATGGTCAGTTGTCTGTCAAACCAGTTAAGATTCTAGACATTTAAACATGGCTAGACGCATTTTTTATTTTCATGAGTATATACTTGGGTGCTCAAAACAGTTGCTTAAGTATATGGCAAATGTAAAAGCCGCTGCTAGCCGGTCAACAGGTTTTCACTGCTGGTAAAGTGCGAATCGAGAAAATCTTGGTTTCGGACACCAGCT